ACACATGTAAGAGTAAAGAACTTGATACATGTAAGAGTAAAGAACTTGATACATGTAAGAGTAAAGAACTTGATACATGTAAGAGTAAAGAACTTAATACACATGTAAGAGTAAAGAACTTAATATTTGTAAGAGTAAACTTAATACACATGTAACATTATATAACTTGATACACATGTAAGAATAAAGAACTTGATACACATGTAAGAATAAAGAACTTAATACACATGTAAGAATAAAGAACTTAATACACATGTAAGAATAAAGAACTTAATACACATGTAAGAATAAAGAACTTAATACACATGTAAGAATAAAGAACTTAATACATGTAAGAATAAAGAACTTAATACATGTAAGAATAAAGAACTTAATACATGTAAGAATAAAGAACCTTAATACACATGTAAGAGTAAAGAACTTGATACATATGTAAGAGTAAAGAACTTGATACATGTGTAAGAGTAAAGAACTTAATACACATGTAAGAGTAAAGAACTTGATTCATGTAAGAGTAAGCTTAATACACATGTAAGAGTAAAGAACTTGATACTCTTACATGTGTATTAAGTTTACTCTTACATGTGTATTAAGTTTACTCTTACATGTGTATTAAGTGTACTCTTACATGTATCAAGTTCTTTACTCTGACATGTATCAAGTTCTTTACTCTGACATGTGTATTAAGCTTACTCTTACATGTGTATCAAGTTCTTTATTCTTACATATGTATTAAGTTATCTAACGTTACATGTATTAAGTTCTTTACTCTTACATGTGTAATAAGTTACTCTTACATGTGTATTAAGTGTTCTCTTACATGTATCAAGTTCTTTACTCTTACATGTGTATTAAGCTTACTCTTACATGAAACTTATTACACATGTAAGAGTAAACTTATTACACATGTAAGAGTAAAGAACTTGATACATGTCAGAGTAAAGAACTTGATACATGTAAGAGTACACTTAATACATATGTAAGAATAAAGAACTTGATACACATGTAAGAGTAAAGGACTTGATACACATGTAAGAGAAAAGAACTTGATACACATGTAAGAGAAAAGAACTTGATACATGTAAGAATAAAGAACTTAATACATGTAAGAGTAAAGAACTTAATACATGTAAGAGTAAAGAACTTGATTCATGTAAGAATAAAGAACTTGATTCATGTAAGAATAAAGAACTTGATTCATGTAAGAATAAAGAACTTAATACATGTAATAATAAATAATTTAATACACATGTAAGAATAAATAACTTAATACACATGTAAGAGTAAAGAACTTAATACACATGTAACATTAGATAACTTAATACACATGTAACATTAGATAACTTAATACACATGTAAGAATAAAGAGCTTGATACACATGTATACAAGAAAACAATGGAATGTGAGAAGAAAAGCAAGAAACCTATATAAAAAAAACAATGTAATGTTAGAAGAAGACCAAGAAAACTATATGTTTGAAATTCAAATGTGGAACAAACTACCAAGGAAGTGAGATGTAACTATGAATAGCAAGAAGCTAACTAAGAAATAGAACTTAACATTTTGTATAAATTATAATGAAAATAGTTATTACAATAAAATGTGGATAATAGGTCTTAAATACATAGTATACTAAGAAAACTTGTTATTGTGATAAATTTGAAAAATGTGATCAAAACATTATACAAATAAAAGATTTTTGAAAAAAAAAGATGCAAGTCTCAATAAAATACAGGTAACTGCATTTAAAATCTGTAGATGAATTCCTTATTTGTAGGACAAGTTCAGTTAAAACCACTAGATAAGCTGTTTATTTGTAGGACAAGTTCATTTAAAACTAGTAGATAAGTTTTACAAATTAAGAATTTTTAAAAACAGCTATAATTTTATATACAATTCTATAAAAATGTGATTGTTTCCAGTGTCCAAATTCCTAAAATAATAACTTACTGTACAAGGTTAAAAAGTGGGTTAAAAAACCTGATGAAACTGGAAACAATCTCATCAATGTTTCGACATATATCTTGCATCATCCTCAGGAGTGTAATGTTTTGCAAAAAATAACATTTATTTATACAATTATCAAAAACACCAATTTACATATTAAAGATTTTCATGCCATCTGCTGACACATTTCCATCAGGTCCATCATCCTTACTCAATAATTTAAATTTATTATTTTACATTTAATTATCTCAATATATACACATATATTCATACTA